CCCCAATCCCAGCACAGTGACCCTGCCCCCAATCCCAGCACAGTAACCCCACCCCAATCCCAGCACAGTGACCCCGCCCCCAATCCCAGCACAGTGACCCCGCCCCCAATCCCAGCACGCCATGCTGACGAGCTCTCGGCACCTGCTTTTGGATCCTAGTGTAACCCCTGTCCCATAGGTGTGGCTACAGGAAGATAGTCAGGGTAGTATTGAGACTTGACTCCAGAGAGTGGGTCAGTTTTTCCTGTGATGAGACAAGTGGAAGGATTGAGTCCGATGGAAGCAGTTACAGGAGCTGTTAGCGGTGATGGCTGGAGGTGGTGAGGTGGTAAGGTATCCCAGTGAGTGAGTGAGAACCACAGAAGTAGAAGGATTGGCAGTTTGGGAGGATAAGGGAATATAAAGGATAAGGGAATAAAGATTAAAATGGGAATATTCCGCCCCATGTCTGTCCCTTCTCAACACACATTATCTTGAAATAGAGTCATAGAGTCATACAGCATGGAAACATACCTTTCGGTCCAACCAATCCATGCCGAATTCAGTCCCAAACTAATTTAGTCCCACCTGTCTGCTCCAAACCTTCCCTATTCATGTATCTATCCAAATGTCTTTAAACATTGTAATTGTACCCACATCCACCACTTCCTCAGGAAGTTCATTCCACATGCGAACCACCTTCTGTGTTTAAAATTTGCCCCTCATGCCTTTTTTAAATCTCTCTCCTCCCACCTTAAAAATGTGCCCCCTCGACTTGAAATCCCCCATCCTATACAGATTAAATTTAAAGCTATACAATTCTCCAGTTTAGAATCCAAGTTCAAGGGAAGATGGTAGCACAGTGCTAATGTACCCATGCCAATAAACTAGAAATCCAGAGGCCCCAGACTATTGATCTGTGGGATATGGGTTCTGGTCTTGTGTCATACAGATAGAGAAATTTTTTAAAAATCCAGATTTAAAAGCTAGTTCCCTGGTCACCATGTACAGTTGTCAATTGTGATAAAAACCCATCTGTTTCACTAATGCCTTTTAGTGACAGAAATCTTCCATCTTTACCCAGTATTATCTACATGTGAATCCAAGCCGACAGCAATATGGCTGTTCATTGCCCTCTGAGTCAATTAGATCAACAGATAACTATAGTTAAAAAGAAATTTCCCGAATGATAGTAGTATATCATCAATATTCATTACAATTTGGCTGCAGCTTCCTCAGTGCAGATGGGTGATCAAGAATTGAACAATGTTGTGTGTACTGCCAAGGTCAATGAAACACTTAATCCATCACCTATCTTTGCATTGCAAAAGTGGAAAATAAATACTTTGAACTGATTCTCCAAATGATAAATGATAATCTTCAGAGAAGACACTTTTTTTGTTTAGCTTTTGGTCCTATAATTGTAAGCAACCAACATAATCAAAGATCCCTCCCATCCCCATTATACTGTCTTCCAACCTCTTCCATTGGGCTAAAGATATAAAAGTTTGTATACTCATACGCACAGATTCAAGGACAGCTTCTTCTCCTCTGTTATCAGACTTTTGTATGAACTTCTTTAATGTTAAAGTTGATCTCTCTGTGCGCCTTCCCAGCAACTGTAACATTGTAGCCCGGACTCTGTACTGTCACTCTGATGCACTTATACAGTATGGTATGCCTGTAAAACACTTAAGACAACACTTTTTACAGTACCTCAGTGCCTGTTGCAGTAATAAATCAAATCAAATTAAAACCAAATCAAATCTTTGTTATTGTAAAACTCGAAAAAAACAGATTACATGAAAACATCAAGTATGATGACATTAGCAAACTAAGATACGCATACTTTTATTTTGTGTCAAATATGTTGTGCACATTTTCAGTGTTTCTTGCATACTGCTGACAGGTGCTAGGACAAGGAATTGTGACAGTTTTCTCACATTGTGTACAGACAGTTCCTCTATTTATCAAGAAGCCTGTGGGACTCTCAAGTTCTCAGATATGGAGACAGGCGTAGCAGTTTGGACGGTGCACACATTTTAAGTGCTAGTGATCTTGATCTCAGGAAGATTGGCAACAACCATAAAGATCCCATTAATTAAAACAATATTTTATCTGGGTCACTATTTCTTAAAAGCAATTCAGCATGCGAGCAGGAGCAGGCAGCTGCGGGGCCCTGCAGTGACAGAGGAAACAGACAGCACAATGCGGCAGTGAGGGTGACGTTAAGTCCTTGTGAGAAATGCGAGTCCAGCATGGCCAGGCACTTATGGACTGTGATGTTGAACTATTAACTGTGTTTCTTTCTGTTTCTACGCTTTAGTAAGAAGGACTCTAATGTTTAACTTCTTAACTTGCCTTAGCCTCTCTGCTCCTATGATGCTGCTTGGCCTGCTGTGTTCATCCAGCTCTGCACCTTGTTGTCTCGGATTCTCCAGCATCTGCAGTTCCTACTATCTCTGATAGCCTCTCTGCTCCTATGATGCTGCTTGGCCTGCTGTGTTCATCCAGCCCTGCACCTTGTTGTCTCGGATTCTCCAGCATCTGCAGTTCCTACTATCTCTCTTCTTTACTTTTCTGCTTTCTACTAAGATTCTTTGCCTAGCTACAGTTATACCTATGATGGCGCCATAAATGGCAGTTTGTAAACGTTTCACTGTGCTCATGTGAGTCAGTATGTGACAATAAAAGCTAATTCTAATTCTAATTCTAGAGTTGCCAACGTTGCACATGACCTGGGTTACTGGAACCAGAGGCTGCAGAATAATATAAAGATAAAATGTTGAATACACAAAGTGCGAGATGAGCCAATACAATTCTGCCACTCTAATATAAAGTCTACATTCAAAAAGAATCTAGCGGTATCCATAGTATAGGCCATAGAGTTATAAACAACTTATCCATGCCGACCAGATATCCTAAACTAATCCAGTCCCATTTGCCAGCATTTGGCCCATATCCCTCTAAATCCTTCTGATTCAAGTTACCTTTAAAATGTTGTAATTGTACCAGCCTCATCTGGCAGCTCATTCCATACACACACAATCCTCTGCGTGAAAAATTTACCCAACAGGCCCCTTTTAAATCTTTCCCCTCTCACCTTAAACCTAGGCCCTCTAGTTTTGGACTCCCCTACCTGGGAAATGACGTTGGTTATTCAGCCTATCCATGCCCCACATGATTTTATAAATCTCTATTAAATCACCCCTTTGCCTCCTACACTCCAGGGAAAATAGCCCCAGCCTATTCAGCCTCTTCCAATAGCCCAAACTCTCCAACCCTGGAAACACCCTTGTAAATCTTTTCTGAACATTTTCAAGTTTAACAACATCTTTCCTATAGCAGGGTGACACAATTAAATGCTGTATTTTAAAAGTGGCCTCACCAATGTCCTGAACAGCTGCAACATGACCTTCCAATTCCAATACTCAATGAATGCACTGACCAATGAAGTCAAGCGTACCAAAAGTCTTCTTCAGCAACCTGTCTACCTGCAACTCCACATTCAAGGAGCTATGCACCTGTTTGTTTGGCAATACTCCCCAGAGCCCTACCATTAACTGTATAAGTCCTGCCCTGATTATGGTTAAGTCTGAATGGAATATAATGGGAAACAATGTACATCAGCACAGGAAGTAATGCGATATTACACAATTTTGTAGCTCTGTGTTAAGATGAAACTACAATGACTTGTTTCTTTAATAAAGTTAATATTTTCCTTACCTCAGCAGACTTTGTTGACATTCTTTATCAGCAGAGGGCCAGGAATGTTATAGTATCAGTACTGAGGGTTAGTTATAACCTGCTCTGTCCATCATGCATGCACTTTCCCCCATTAGATCAATAAAACATTTACAGAGCAGTTACGCTGAGCAGTTCATACTTATGCGGAAGTATTTGTGGTTTTGCGTCACTGACTTTCTCTCTGTATAGTGACAAACCCTCCCCTATAACTAGTGTGCTTGTACTTCATGTCCGGTGCAAATTGATCCTGATTGAAGCCATGGGCTAGATTGCACAATTCCTCACTAAAGTTTTTCAAAGGAGGGACGTTTGTAAAATGCAGCGCATGTTGAGCCCCATGATTTCCCGCCAGCTCCTGACATGTCTCCCATTTTACAGAAACAGTGGAGGCTTTAAGTGCTTCGGTGCTTCATGACACTCTTGCTGCTGGGGGAGGCACAGACCAAGTGAGAGTCCCAGCAGTTTTTAGTGGAACAAGCTGTCATCAGGAAGAAGAAGGTGTACTTTATTTGTGTGGGTGTGTGTCCCAATTGGAGATACAGCTTAGATCATAACCCTCCTCTAGCCCCAGCATTAGCCCTTCCACTTCTGCCCCATCCCCTGGTCTCACAAACCCATCTCCCCACCCTCCCACATTGGGCCAGGCTCTATTAATATTCAGTCCGGCTTCAATCACTTCCTCTTCCTCGGGGCCTGACTATATTCTATTCCAAGCTGTGGCCATGGCTCAGATCCGGGATGACAGACCATGGGCTGATAGCCCTTTGTGTTGGGACTTCTTCCCCAGATAGAGGCAGCAGTCTTGTCCCCAGCCAATTAACACTGTGCCAAGTGTAAAATGGTGGCATGGCATTGGCTTTCTTGTGGGTGGGTCCCCAACAGCATTTCATTATTGGGGCAGGGGGAAAACCAATGACAAATCATCCCAGA